ACGGAGTATGTCTTTGTGAAGTTAATGTTAAATGTTCATGAGGAAGTTACATAAATGTTACTCTATATGCTCACAGAGTCAACGTGCATAGAGAGATAGTTATGTCTATGTGAGGAAGTTACATAAATGGCAAGTATATCTATGTCTATGTGAACACAAACTAATTTTTGTGTAACTTTTAACTCATCAGTCGTATGAGCATTTTTTTTTTTTACAAAAACGTAACTTTTGATTTCACACTATAAATTATGTAATAATTAAGATAAATAAAGTTGAAATTACTTTTGTTGCTGAATTGACTGAAGTTACTATAAAGAATCATTTTATATTTTTAATCTAATATTTTATTTATGTTATTGATAAAATATACTTTAAATATATTCAACTAGACGCTTCAAAAATAGTTTCATACATTCCAACAAATTTAAACGATTCAGTCAATTTCCTGTGCTCCACATGTTGTTGGGAGGAATTTTCTATACAAATACGAGTAGTATTTTGCGCGTAAACTAGTTTAAAAATAAAGAATGCCATCTCAGAGGACCACCAACACATGCCCAATAGTAAAAAAAAAACTATAGTAAATAAACTATAATAAAAAACATAGTGAGTGTGTACATAAACTATAATAAAAAACATAGTGATAATGAGTGTGTAAATAAATTTGAGAAACACAATTATTTGTGCCAAAGTGTATACAAAAAAGATTACGCGGTGACGGGTAGATTGATCAATTTTGGGACAAAAAGTGGTAAATTGAAAAATCTAGTGTGTAACGCTCGGGATAAAATTGGGTACAAAAAATCTATTGGTACACATTTTTCATACACACACTTACACACTCATGTTTGTGAAGAGTATTTTTTTGTCTGAATACAGACATAACATATTTGAAAATACGTTATGTCCGTATACAGACAAAAAAATACTCTTCACAAACATGAGTGTGTAGGTATGTGTATGAAAATGTGTACTTAAAGCTGGATTGAATTGGGTAGGTCCTATAGGGTATTGGGGAGCAATATCTTTTCTTTTGGGAGGTAGAAGCTGGGAAGTGCTACACCAGAAAAGCAACGTCTGCGAAGTGGGAATACAGGTCTTTCCAACTGGGACGCTGGGACCCACCAATCGAAGTCCACATTTGAAATGCCCTTAAGAATTGAGAGCCTCTGCCCCCACGTATTGAGTGTCATCGACAGAGAAAAGACTCTTCTCGTATTCTTCTTGTACCAACGCTGTATGTAATCCCCTGTGTGTATTGTCTCTCTGGCTTGCGTTTCCTTTCTTCTTTCCAGTCTCTCTCTCTCTAAAAACCTGACAATAAAATCAGCATCTCTGTATTCTTCAAGTATCTGGTAAACATATCTTATACTTCTTGAATACCTTGAATACTTCCAAAAGTTTATTCTTGAGTATCTTGAAGCTTGATTAGATTTTATGAGTTCTTTTCTTGCTCTGTAGTTATGGTTTTTGTTGATTAGCACCTGTTGTTATAGAATATATGAATTTGTTGTGCTCTAGGCCATAGCTAGTTCTGTAATTCCTTTAAATTGCTGTATTTTGGGCTCTTTGTTTTAATTTTAGCCTCCAAAGTGATTTTAGCACATTGAATCAAAACAGAGTGTTGATAACTGAGATACTCTGGTGATTTTAGTCAAGATTTATTGTAAAGGTGGTAGTTTTGATTTGATTTTGTGAAAATTAATTTATATACTTCAAAACCCAAAGTTTGGGAAGTGTGAAGTAAGTACCCAGACTTGCAACTGTGAAATAAGTATCATGAATTTCATTTTACAGGTGATCTTGTCACTATGAACGTTGATTTTTCTGTCAAAATTGTATGTTTAGGCTTTAAGGGTGCTTAAGATACTCGAACATTTGGTAGTAGGCACTTGGCATCTAAAACTTACATTTCTGAACATATAATCTGGGTTCATGTGGATGAGATCACTTGTATAAAGTTTATAAAACAAAGTTCATGATATTTATATCTTACATGATATTTATTGAGTTCACACCTCCCCAAAGTTCAGGTAGTTAAATTAGTTTTCATTTTAATTTATTTATTTCCATGTAAGAAGGTTTTAAGTTTTAACATATATTTCTGTTGGTCTACTGTGAGGCATCTGAAAAACATAGTTTTGGACCCCCCCTCCCCCCGAATAGGAAAAAGTAAAATTTGTCGGTCGCTTTAGACTTCATTGGATGTGACTCTGTTAATGAGACTAGTATTGTTCAATGCAATTCTTCCAATTCTGTTCTGGTGTGTAAAATTATTATTGTTTTTAATTTTACTATTCTGTATGTTTGGGCAAGCCTCTCTGTGCAATGGAAAATTAGTTTTGATTTGAAGCGCATTAAAATAGTGGCTTCCCAGTGTCAGCTACATTATTGGTTGACTAATCATGCTACACTTATGATGAGTCAGAAAATGGAATGGAGGAGCTTTTGTATGAAAAGCCTTGGTTTAGTTTTTATAGTTTTACATCACAGTATTGAAGTTCATTGGTTGATTTTCTAGTGTTGGTCACTTTAGAGTACTCTTCTGTTCAAATTGCAGATTTATCTTTTCTTGTTCTTGTTGCTGTCTTTTTTCCCAGTTGGATATAGGTACCATCTGGCAAAGAAGATTTAGTCATGGATCATCCGGATATCGGGCTGGACTCAGATCTGTGGGCAAAACCATCTTCTTTGTCTTGCAATGAATATTTGGGAAGTGTACAACCAGACTACCTCCAGTCCTTAAACAATTTTACTTTTCAACAACAGCAAAAGTGGGATGGTTCTTTTCTTGATAACCCACCACCATCTGGTGGTGTCTACAGCCAGCCTTCTGCTTCTACCATGAACACTACTACAGCCAGTTTCCTTCCAGACACCCAAAATTGTGACTCAAACATGATTCACGAATGGGACCCGAAAACTATGCTGTCCAATCTCTCTTTTCTTGAAAAAAAGATCCACCAACTCCAGGATCTCGTGCATTTGGTCGTCGGTCGTCAAGGAAATGAACTTCCAGTTAATCAGCAGCTCATCACAGCTGATCTTACTTCTATCATAGTCCAACTAATATCTACCGCAGGCAGCCTTTTGCCAACTCTGAAGAACACGCCACAACATATGATGAACAAGGTTGAAGATCACCACCACCCAATCCATACCGGGGATGATTCTGGAGGAACGGATCACCAGAACAGTTCTGCTGTTGCCGAAGAACATGATTTAATGAAAGAAGAAGACGAAGAAGAAGAGAACCTGGTCCCTGGTTCCTATGAGATTCTACAGCTCGAGAAGGAGGAGATTCTTGCACCCCATACTCACTTTTGCACAATCTGTGGGAAGGGGTTCAAACGAGACGCCAACTTGAGGATGCATATGAGGGGTCATGGGGACGAATACAAAACCCCGGCTGCCCTTGCCAAGCCCCCCAAAGAAGTCTCAGCCTCCATGGAGCCCACAATTGTTAAGAGGTATTCTTGCCCTTACGTAGGGTGTAAGCGGAACCGGGACCACAAGAAGTTTCAACCTCTGAAGACGATGTTGTGTGTAAAAAACCATTACAAGAGGACCCATTGTGAGAAAAGCTACACTTGCGGCCGGTGTAACGTGAAGAAATTCTCCGTCATTGCGGACCTAAAGACGCACGAGAAACATTGTGGCAAAGATAAATGGCTTTGCTCCTGTGGTACAACTTTCTCCAGGAAAGACAAGCTGTTCGGTCACATCACACTTTTCCAAGGTCATACCCCTGCTATCCCTCCCCTGGACGATCATAAAGGATCATCCACATCCACTAGTTCTCAAACAGATCATCTGAAGTTAAATGCTGCTGCTACTGCTCAGATTGGTGCAAGTTTGGAGAATGATGTCAGAGGGAGTGGTGATGATGTTGGCAGTTACTTTTCACCGTTGAACTATGGTGATCTTGGGGGTGGATTTCAAGATTTCCCTAGAGTCCCGTTTGGTGACTCAGACAGTTCCTTCTCTTTTCTATTGTCAGGTTCATGTGATTACCCTCAGAGGGAAGGGAAATATATGGATTTCCAGTAGTATATTTACCATACTCGATTGTTGCCTTATTGTTGTATTGAACAACACATTTTATGTAAGAAATGTATTCATCATCATTGTATTCAATAAAAGTGTTAATCTTAATCCCATTTCTCTCCTGGTTAATTCCAAAATAACACGAGCCTTTTGAATATAACATCCTGATAAGTAAGGTGGAAGGAAATTATATCTAAGTTGTCCTCCAATTATCTCACGGATTTACCGGGGTAATTTACCATTCTCTGAACCCCTTTATTAACCTTCTCTGTACATGTATCATGTCAAGGGTTGCTTAAGGTATTTACACACATATTAAGGGGGATGAAGTTTTTAAAATCACAATCACAATAAGGATAATATATAGTAGCAGTAGACAATCTTCTTGTTTGGACAGTGATCATTGAATACCAAACTTCAATTCGTTTCATTTCTCAAACTTCTACAAGTTCTAAAAAGGACACTAATTGAGGTGGAAGGAAATTATTAGCCTCTTTGCAAGATTCTATCTTCAAAGGTACTACGTATTAAATAAGGTGGAAGGCACAAATTGAACCCGTCACCAGAGAAGAAAGTGAAGGACTCGCTTCTGTGAATGGGGGGGTCTCATCAGCCAGTACCTTCATTACAACGCCATCCTTTTGAGCAGTAAGAGTTCAACTAGGACTCTGCAATTTAATGACCGTGGGTAGCATTCGACACTTTCAATTTACAAAAGAATTAGATTAGTTTTAGGATGCCTGGATTCTAAATTGCCCTCAAATTATCTCCCGTACTTATCTGGGGTAATTTTACCATTCTCTGAACCCCTTTTCTAACCTAATCTCTCTCTCTATATGTAGCATGTCAAGTGTTGCTTAAGGAATTTACACACATATTGAGGGGTGTGAAAATTTTAAAACCACCAAAGGATAATATATAGTAGACAATGGTTCTCATTTGGAAAGGGAGCATTGAATACCAAACCTCAACTCGTTTCATTTCTCAAAGCTCTATAAGTTCTAATAAGGACATTAATTGAGGGTACTATTACTCTCTTTGCAAGTTTATATCTTCAAAGGTATTAATTAAGGGTACACTCCGTCCCTTAAGAGAAGATACTAAATATGCAGCTCCCTGTTGAAAGAGATCAAATTTTATACCATTGAGTGAGCTGATCGTGCCCCATAATGAGAAAATTATGGAGTTGCACCAGCAGCATTACACAAAGGAACAACAAACTATTCCTTGTTTTAATTCACATTCAAGGGAAAAAAGAAACACATGACTAGTTTTTGTGTGAAGATGAAGTGGACTGTGTGTACGGGGAAGAATGATGGAGCAATAATATGAGCTTCAATCCCCATGCATAATAATTTGCTTGTTTTGAACGAGGTTTCTTCAGCGGGCGTTGATAATATGTCTCCTTGAGAACAATGTCATCCTCATATGACCACGTCATGCCCCTGGGAGAGCTTTTAGTCCAAAGAAATCTCTCAGAAAATGGATTCACTAGGCTTTCTCTGAAATCTTTGGCTGTCTCGCAAAGTAAACCCTGCATCAGATTAACAAATTTAAAAACCAGCATAAAAGAGTGCATCAGGATCACCCATATCCCAATCACATTTTGGGCCTGTTTGGATGAAGGGTTTTTGGAGGGGAGGGCGGCTTGGTCTATTATGTTAATATATATTTGAAATATTCCTACAACCAAAAGATTCAGATAGTAGGTGTTTGTATAACATTTCAATCACCTTTTATTTGTTTAAGAAATACTTAGTCTACCAAGATATATAGACGTAGCCCTCCATACCCTAAAAAAACATTTATCCAAACAGACCCAGACCCTTGATACACACACACACAAAACAAAACACATAATTGAATAATCTAAAATGTTTTCTACTAGCACTTACCTCTGCCATTGACTTGATCTTCAGAGAGATATCATCACTGAGGAGGATGAGTTTTGTGAGGCCATTATTGATTTTTCTCAAGAAGAGAGCATATTTAAGAATGTGATCTTCTGCAGGTGTTAGAGTAGTAATGTCACTTGTTTCTTCTTCATCTAAACTCTGAATATGAATCCACCACTTTGTATTTTTCATACAATCTTCAACCCATTCTAATGCTGAAGACACCTCTGTCGTTCTTTTAAAAAAACTAGCTCGACTTTTCATGCAACCTAGTTCGTTTATGACTGAGAGTAAAAGACATGTAACCAATCAGGAAAATAAATTGTTATTGTATTAAATAGACAAATGGCACCATATGATCTAAGAGTGGTTTGCGGATACATGGATACATGGGGGGATGAAGAAAAACTTATAAACAGGTTTGATTACCAATACGAGGAATAATCAAAGAAGTCGATTTGAGACCCTGCAAAAGCTGCAGAGCTTTCCTTGACTCTTTGTTCAGCAGACTAGTAGTATCCACCACTATGCACCAATTTCTTTCTTCCTCCCTGACTTTAGGCTCCTGTAAAACAAAAACTTAAAATCCTTAATCATAATCAGATGCATGAATTAGTTTATAATCGTAATCTGACCATGAAAAGGGGCATCATCAAACAAACTTAACATGAATACTACTAACATCCATGACAACTAGTTTATTATATTTCTTGGAACAAATGCTGAATTAGAAACTTGGCAAAAGAAATAGCCAAATCAACTTACAGAAAAATGACAGATCTTATCTCCCATTCCTGGACAGAATGACTCAGTTGTGCTTCTAGAATTGATAAGCACCATTTGAAAGGGCACTCTATCCTTCTGTTTAGACTGCTGCATATGTAGTCCTAGCTCTTTAATATTGCTCTTCACTCGGAGTGCTTTCTCATTGTTATTTTCCTCATATTGATTTAATCTTGAGTTGAAGTCATCAGCTACCTCAGAGTTGTTTATAGTTTCTCTTGACTTTCCAATCTTGTTCATCGACCACAGAAAATGAGTATTAGGGGTCATGTTCTCTTTATCTGGAGTAAAAGTTTCATCATCTCTCTCATCATCACAATTCTCATTCTTCAAAGGAGATGGTTTAAACACTTTCAGTTTTGTTAGGTTTTGAAGCTTGCCCTTCGGTTGTATTAACCTCTGGAGATGAGTATTCAAAGTCTCGTTCTCCTTATTTGGACTTATAGTTTGTTTATCGCCCCCTTCTTCCGTAATTGGAAATGAGAGTTTCATGGTAGGTCGAGTGCAATTCTCTTTACCTGGTGGGGTATACAATATTTTTTCTACATTCATCATGTCACCACCACTCAAAGCAGGAATATCCAGAGGTATGCTCTCTTTAATGGGAGTGGCTACTGTTTCCTGATCGATTTCATCCACCTTTGGAAGTGAATATATTAGAGTTGATCCACATGTCTTCAAATCAAACTCATCTGTATTCTTCAAGGACTGGAGTGAGACAGAACTTAGAGTCAGATTATCTTTGTCAGGATTAATATCTTTTTCATCCACATATCCACCATCACTTGGTGGATAAATGCCAAAACTTACATTCTCTGTATTCTTCAAGGACTGGAGTGAGACAGAACTTAGAGTCAGATTCTCTTTGTCAGGACTAAAAACTTTTTCATCCACATATCCACCATCATTTGGTGGATAAATGCCAAAACTTACACTCTCTATATCTGGAACGACCATAGTGTCACCTCCTTTGCCCACTACTTTATAAACAACATCATCTTCAGAAGATCTGATAGTTGATCCACTTTCCTTATCAGACAATGACATATGTGGGGCAGAATAGGGAGGCAGATTCTCCTCACTCGGATGTTCAATATCCATAGCGACTTTCTCTTGGTCTGGAGTGACTATTTCACCATCAACTTCATTCACTTTCAGAAGTGACAAGCTTGTTGGTGACCCATTACCCAAATCAAACTGATCTGGTGTGAGCATTTTGCTATCTGTTTCATCTCCACTCGGAAAATGAATATCTATAGCGACTTTCTCTTGGTTTGGAGTGACTATTTCATCATCAACTTCATGAACTTCCAGAACAGATTGTGACTCATTTCTCAAATCAAATTCATCTGTATTCTTCAATGCATCTCGGAGTGGAGGAGAGCTAGAAGTGAAGTTCTTGTTCTCTGGAGTTGATGTTTTTTCGCCACTCAGACAAGGATCCTCCAAGGGCAATTGGGAATCTGTATCTGGATAACTCTCTGATTTTGTCATAATGACTCTCCCTTTGACTGGAAAGGCTATTTCATCAACTTCGAGAAGTGGGGGCTTCACTGTTGGTCCAGTTCTCGAATCAAATTCAAACAAATCCTTCAAAGAACCAAGTGTGAGACAGCTAGAAGTGCGATGGTTCTCCTTCTTTGGAGTCAACAATTGTTGCCCCACACAAAAACAATCCTTCAATAAAGACTGGATATCAGTATCTACACTATACTCTTCATTAGCAGCTGGAAATTTTTTGTCATCCACCAAAGAGATAGAAGGCACGTCTGAATCAGAACATTCTGAATCCAGATTCTCCAACTCTTCACTCTTATGGAAGAACCCAACATCAGCAACCTGTACAAAAAATCCCAGCATAACAAACACATTTAAGGCAGTGAAACACACCAAACTGTGACCAACAATTATTACTGCAGGTTATAGTTTAAGCCGAAGAACTTACCTGATCCTCCCCTTCTTTATCAGAAGAAGGCTCTGACTGAGGGAGAATTGGAGGCAGAAATGGATTATCCAAATCATAAGCTTGGCTCGAAGGAGCCCAATGTAGCCTGTATACCCTACTTGATCCCCCTAGCTGCATCGTATCACCTTCTTTCAGGTTAATCCTAACCCCTGATTCAATCCTTTTACCGCCAATCCAAGTCCCATGCACTATAACACATAATAAGGTCATTTCATGATCAATCACATCCACATATAAAGTGGTTCTTGTAGAGACACACAGAGCGAATGAACGATCATCTTATAATGAAATTAAACAAAACAGCAAACAGAAATAGAGCGAATCATTCATCAAGAACCAATAACAGATACACATAAAAGGAAGGAATACCCGAGGAAAGATCAACGACGGAGAGGGATTGGGAAGAGGGCTGGGAGTAGATGCGAAGGTGGAATCTGCTGATGCTTGGGTGTTCCAAGGTGATGTGGCAATCTGGATGCCTCCCAACCAACAAAATTTCTTCCGATTCCTTGAAGGATCCTTCTGCCAAAGGTTGGTTATCGATTAGGAAAATGTTCTTGAGGATCGCATTGTTCTTCAGCACTGTGAATACAGGTATTTTTCGTTCCCCTGCTTTCTCCGAAGTAGGTTCTCTGAGCTCCACTGGCGACTCCATTTTCGAATGTAGGCAGAGAGGGAGAAAGAGATGAAAAACAGAGGGTTTTAGTGCGTTGGAACGATGAGAACGGATTTCTTTCAAAGGATTTGCGAGTGTAAATGACCGTTAGGATATGAGCGTCACATTAGGCATTTATAGAATTATATAGATACAAAAAATAGAAAATACTTGCATTTGAATTGAACATTCTTTTCATTTTTGAAAATTAGCCCTAATGTTAGGGAACGGGCCTATTAGAGTATTAATAAGAATAAGGGACCGGGCCTATTGGAGTATTAATAATAATAAAGTGTATAAGTTCAGTATAAATAGAAGATAGAAGGGAGGAGTTGAGGAGGCTGTTTTAGACTTGGACTTGGGACTTTGGGAAGATCGAGAGCTTTCTCTTTCTTTGGGTGGCTTCGGCTCAATTGGGGGTTTCAGCCTGAATTTCTCTATTCTACTTCTGTAATTGTTCTTCATCAATAAAGATTCATCTGTTTGTTGTTGATCTTTCTATTAATTTTCTGAATTTCCGGAGATCCCTATCAATTGGTATCAGAGCGAGACGATCGCTGGATGAGACTAACTCGCGCGAAAAATGGAAGGACGTATGATTGCCGTCGAAAGGAGTTTGGAGGAGATGCAGGACAGGAACCAACGGGAGATGCGGGAGTTGCAGACGAATCTGGAGAGAAGTTTGGCAGCTAACGTCGCGGTTTTGCAGGCGAGCATCGCGGCTTTACAACATCGATCGCCTGGTCATTCAAGAAGTAATTCACATCACTCCTCGACTTCTCATCGAACATCTCATCATCGCCGGCATACGAGAGAGGAAGACAGTTCGGAAGGCTCAGATCATCAGGCGATTTCAAACCGAAGTCACAACAGTCACTATAATCATCGGAACCATCATCCGATAGGAAGAAAAATAGATTTACCGCTTTTCAATGGACAGGATGCTTTTGGTTGGCTGGTCAGAATGAATCGCTATTTCCGCCTGAACAGAACGGAGGAGGAAGAAAAGATCGATGTAGCTGTTATGGCTATGGAGGATCAAGCCTTAAGTTGGTTCCAGTGGTGGGAAGGTCAGTCACCACATTTGACCTGGACGCAATTGACGAAGGATCTAACTCTTAGATTTCAGCCGGAACTGGTGGAAAATTTGTAACACCCCGGCCCTGCAGGACCCGAGGTAGTTACTCTAGACCTCTAGTACTGTCCCCACAAACCGCCACTAGCCTTTTCCGCGCACTTTGTCCTCACTCGTGCGCGCCCTGAGAAACTTTCCAGGGGGTCACCCATCCCAAGACTACTCCCGTGCAAGCACGCTTAACTTTGGAGTTCTTAGCGGATGAGCTCCCTTAAAAGGAGATGCATCTTGTTGGTATGAGTAGTACTATTAATCCGTTTATATTAAATCTCAAGTGTTACAATATTCTCTTGGGCCTTTGTTCAGTTTAAAACAGACAGGGTCAGTTGCTGAATACATGGACAAATTTGAGATAGCCATGGCCTCGCGAGGTCACTTAACTGAGGAAGTGTTGAGAGGAGCCTTTGTGAATGGTTTGAAGCGTGATATAAAAGCAGAGTTGAAATTATATTCTGCCAGAACTCTAGCTGCAGTAATGAATACATCTACCTTGATTGATAATAAAAACATTGAAGTGAGTATCATGAAAGGTGAGGAAGAAGGAAGGAAGGCTATCTCAAATCAAGGTAGATGTATTCATTACTGCAGCTAGAGGAAGGTAATAAAAACATCTTCCTTCTTCCTCACCTTTCATGATACTCACTTCAATGTTTTTATTATCAATCAAGGTAGATGTATTCATTACTGCAGCTAGAGTTCTGGCAGAATATAATTTCAACTCTGCTTTTATATCACGCTTCAAACCATTCACAAAGGCTCCTCTCAACACTTCCTCAGTTAAGTGACCTTGCGAGGCCATGACTATCTCAAATTTGTCCCTGTATTCAGCAACTGACCCTGTCTGTTTTAAACTGAACAAAGGCCCAAGAGAATTTTCCACCAGTTTCGGCTGAAATCTAAGAGTTAGATCCTTCGTCAATTGCGTCCAGGTCAAATGTGGTGACTGACCTTCCCACCACTGGAACCAACTTAAGGCTTGATCCTCCATAGCCATAACAGCTACATCGATCTTTTCTTCCTCCTCCGTTCTGTTCAGGCGGAAATAGCGATTCATTCTGACCAGCCAACCAAAAGCATCCTGTCCATTGAAAAGCGGTAAATCTATTTTCCTCCCTATCGGATGATGGTTCCGATGATTATAGTGACTGTTGTGACTTCGGTTTGAAATCGCCTGATGATCTGAGCCTTCCGAACTGTCTTCCTCTCTCGTATGCCGGCGATGATGAGATGTTCGATGAGAAGTCGAGGAGTGATGTGAATTACTTCTTGAATGACCAGGCGATCGATGTTGTAAAGCCGCGATGCTCGCCTGCAAAACCGCGACGTTAGCTGCCAAACTTCTCTCCAGATTCGTCTGCAACTCCCGCATCTCCCGTTGGTTCCTGTCCTGCATCTCCTCCAAACTCATTTCGACGGCAATCATACGTCCTTCCATTTTTCGCGCGAGTTTGTCTCATCAAGCGATCGTCTCGCTCTGATACCAATTGATAGGGATCTCCAGAAATTCAGAAAATTAATAGAAAGATCAACAACAAACAAATGAATCTTTATTGATGAAGAACAATTACAGAAGTAGAATAGAGAAATTCAGGCCGAAGCCCCCAATTGAGCCGAAGCCCCCCAAAGAAAGAGAAAGCTCTCGATCTTCCCAAAGTCCCAAGTCCAAGTCTAAAACAGCCTCCTCAACTCCTCCCTTCTATCTTCTATTTATACTAAACTTATACACTTCATTATTATTAATACTCCAATAGGCCCGGTCCCTTATTCTTATTAATACTCTAATAGGCCCGTTCCCTAACACCTAATAAGAGTCGTTTTAATCTTTATTTGAAAAATAACGTTTAGTCCAAATATACATCACATCAAATTGGCTATTCAATCCTAGTTATGACAATTATATACTACGTATATGATACGACAAATATTCTTAATAGTATAGTTGATATGTGCACATAATAATCATTATGTTTTCACGAGTAAGATGTCTGACATAACCATCCACCTAACTTTGAACCCAATGAACTAATCAAGAGTAGAACGACCACAAGACAAGTCTAACATAGTTGAGGGTGCATGAAGAGGTCGAGGGTATCCGTTGTTAACCTGAGGCCTTCAATAGAACCCTACACGACAAGTCTAGCAGGCCAAGGGAGCCCAACGAGGCCAATGGCACGAATCATCACTCTCGGTTACCCCTTAGTCAGAATAAACGTTTTAGTAAGAGATATAGCGACCGAAGTTACTCACTTTTTTTTTTTTTTTCTACCCCGGAAGGCAAACCACCAAAATCAGTGGGGTAAATGCCGGGGGACATTTACCGAGTTTTATTAAAAAAAAACATTTACAGAAAGAGGGGGGGAACGAACCAAAACCCCTCCAGAGAGGCATTCCTCCCAGAAAACAAAACTAAGCGGACAGTAAAAGAAACACAACAAAACTCCATTGAGGGGACTAGACCAAGACTCAATGGAGTTAGAGAACAAATCAGCCCTAAAAAATAAATAAAACTAAAATCTGAAATGCGGAAAACCGAACAGATCAGAAAAATAGCATCTCTTAACATCATAGGGCAAGTCATCAACATTATTAAAAAGCATACTTAAAGCAGGTGTGATCCGCTTACAGGCCAAGGAATGGGCCGGCCCATTACCTTCCCGATGAACATGTCCAAACGTGTAGCCTTTCTCGGTCGCTTTCCTTTTAAATAAATGCAGCCCAGTACAGTTGCCTGAAACATCATCAAGCCAGGTTAACGACCGAAGTGCATCAGTCTCAACCTGGACCCTGACCTTCCCTTCTGCCATGGCCATCTCTGTAGCCCGCACCAGCGCCTTCAACTCTGCCTCCTCACTAGAGCTCGCCTCAATCTGGAAGCATACAGCCCATATCATCTCACCCAACCTATTCCTTAAGATGGCTCCTCCCATAGCAGAATCAGGTAAGAACGACGCATCCACATTCAATTTAAACGAGTCAGTAGGTCGTTTCCACTTAACAATTTGAAATCCGCCCCTCTTGAACTGGAAGTTCTTTGGTATGAGTTGTTCTTGAAATAAGATTTGCTCAATCTTCCGTTTTTTGATTTTTTCCAAAGAGAATACCCATCTTTGAGTATAGCTTTTAATCTGAAAGATCACTTGTTCTGGATCTGGGATAGACTCGGAACCCCACGTATATGAGGAGTATACCTTCCAAATGTGCCAACAGATAATTCCAGGGAGGTTATGTTTAAAAATATCAGCCAAAGTCTTGGAACCTGCTTCTATCCACCAGAAGATAAGAACCTGTCTAATAGAAGTAGAATAAGGAATATTAATACCAAAAATCCCCATATAGTACTGCCATATCGTTTTTGAATAAGAACATTCATAGAAGATATGATCAGTATCTTCACCATGATTCTTGCAAAAGGGACATCTAGTAGGAAAAATAACCAGCTGAAATCTGTGAAGATTATCAGGTGTAGGAGTGTAACGATTAAGAAGCTTCCAAATAAACATCTTTACTTGCATATGCTGAAACTTGTTCCATGTGTGTTGAGAAGTGAATGTGACTGACTTGCTTTCCCTGATTTCATTGTAAGCAGATTTGATGGAGAAAGCACCATTGATACCTGGATCCCACACCAAATTGCCGTTTGATCCAATGGAGCAAAGGTCAGTGACGAAATTGTGGATCCCACAAATTCTTCTCCATACAGTAGAGTCAGTTACCCTAGGCCTCATGTCATCACCCCTAGGATATTTGGCTTTAATAAAATCACTCCACAAGGATTTGTGTGTTTTCCACTTCCACCAAATCTTCATAGTATAGGCCTTCTCAACATCAGCAAGAGCCCTAATTCCTAGACCCCCTTCCTCAACAGGATAACAAAGCTTGGACCATTTAGCCCAATGTGCCTTATGTGTAGTGTCAGTTGAGCCCCATAAAAAAGATGCCATTTTCTTCTCTAAGGTATTAATTACCTGTCTAGGGAGCGTGTCTGTAGCTAATATGTG